GCGGGGCTCAACTAGAGGGGGATCCGAGAGCTCCAGTGGTGGACTGAAGCTTCTCCAGGAAGCCTGGTTCTGCTGGATGGTACAAGAGGCTCTAAGAAGGATGCGGCCTCAGCGACTTGGAGGGAGCGCTGTGCCTCCATTACGTCTCAGTTAGTCCTTGTATTTCTTATGTCTGAGGTATCTTGTAGAATGGGAATGGGATTCACTCAGAGGGACTTTGGGTAGCATTTTAGTCGAGATTAGAACTGAGGAGCTACAGGTTCTAATCTATGGGTATTTATAAAGGGGAGTGGAAAGGACTTAGTCAAAGTCCGAATGACAATGGGACAACACCGAAAGGTGCCGAATGATACCGAGAGGTACTGAAAGGTCCCAAACGATATCTTTAACGGGGAACCGAGGTGTCGGACCATGGAGGGCGGAGTAAGAGGCCGGAAAATGAATGGGAACAAGAAATGGGTAAGGGGGGGTTAGCCGACTGAATGGTAAGAAGAAGAGAGTCGTGCTAAGAATGGAAGGTGACTAATAAGTGATGATGTGAGTGAGATCACCGAAGGATGCGGGTAACTCCGAAAGCGGAGTTGCGTATCCGAAGGATATTGGGTGACTCAAATAAATGAAATGGGTGGAGAAATGGTTTAAGGGTGTGTGTCAGGGCTCGGTCCTCGATCAGGGACGGCCCAAGCTCAGGCCTAGGTGTGTGCGGTGTTCCGGGTGGTTGGGCGCTAGACCCTGTCCTTAGCTCCTCAAACTCACTGAAGGGACTAAGCGGGGATTGAGTTGTCATGTATTACAGAGGGTAACTACAACTTGCCTAAGTGGGGATTGAGTTGAGAAGAAGGGTAAGTTTCCCTATTCCCCGCTTGGCTACTATAAAAAGGAAGTGTACTGTACAGTTCATAACGTGACTCCGGGTAGAAGCCGAGCATGTTCCCGCGACTCGGAAAAGGTGTCACATGGGTTAAGGCGAGTTGCTCGCCTTAACCCACGTGATTTTTCCCGCGGGCTCGCATGCGGGCTGAAGTTGTGAGAGGTATGTAGGGATGGGGAGGTCTGGGAAGGTGGTTCTGGGGTGTGGTTGGGTGCCCTGACAGCAGGGTCAGGGGCCGATCCCTGACAGTGTGTCATGGGATGTCGGAGGTCCATCGGGATATCGGAGCAAATCCGGAGTCTCTGAATGTTCCGACTCAGGACCGAGCTTCCGGGATGGGAGTGGCCAAGGTTCAGTGTGCCGCAACCAGACCGGAGCTGAGACAGTCAGGAGGGAAGGTGACTTGGGGAGTGGGGAGGCGTGGTGTAGGGGATGGTGAAGTTGTTAGGAAGGTGTGATGTGGTGGGAGTGCGCGGGGTCAGGATTCCGGGATATGACAGTTTTGCACTTTCCGTGCATTGTTTTGACCGGGCTCTTCCTTATTTGGACAGAAATTGGTCTTCGCGATCTGCTGAAGTGCGGATCTCGGTTCCGACAGCCGGTTCCCTTCGCATTGCCACCCTCACGTGTCATTAAACATGATGCGGATTTCTATATTCCCATCATTGGTATAACTTTACAACAGTTGGACCGTTTGGGCTGAAAATTTGCATAACTATAGTTTCCTATTTCTCATAATTTCCGTGTAAATTTCGTTCTATGTTTTAATTATGGATCCTACGTAAACATCGTCTTTTCCCTGAGCTCGGACTTTTGATGTTGCTATTCCCGTTATTGGATATCTCATTAATGCGTGATCCTTTTATTATGAAAATTTGGGTGGATTAAGATTAGATCCCTTCCTTTCTAATGGGCTATCAAGCTTGTCTCGGTCGTTACTGGTTATTCTTCGCGCTTGCTTTTTAAGCGTTGTCCTCATTTTGCGGGAGTTTTAGTCATATCTCCGTCGTTTATGCGTAGTTTTCCCTGTAATTACTTTCATTGGGTCCGTTTGGGGGACATCTACATTTCCTATTATAAACACGACTTTGAATTTTGCATTAGTTCCTGAGGAATCCTTGTTCCACAGTACTTCCATCCTTGGCTACGTGTGCGGACATGGGAAAGTAGTTTCCGTGGAGGTTCTCTGATTGTTTTTATTGTCAAATCTTGGTCGATTGTCCTAGTTCTTTGTTTAATGTTTGCTATAAATTCCCCCGAGAATTCCGTCTTGTTGATGCTAAGCTTGAAGTATTTTTTCTAATTTTCTTTCTTTCAATTTATCGCGTATAATCGTAATAATTCGTAAAAAAATTCGTTAAAATTCATTAAAGTTCAGGTCCTTCTATTTTCTCATATCTACTTGTCATATGGGGTTTTGTGATTTATCTGGCATATTTCCATAATGGGTTTCCATAGTGTGTCCGTTATTTCTCCTACAACGCTGCGCTCATTCAGTCATGCCAATCTAGTGATTGCCCACATTCGTGGATCTCAGATCGATTTTATCAAGCTGTTCATGCAGGTTTTTTTCCTGCCTGGTGTCCACCCTATGCATCGGTGCCTCATGCATGTCTTCATGAGTTGTGCTGTGTTGTTCAGTTGCCTACAGCGAGTAGGATCCCGGTTTGGGTTTCTCTTCGGTTTTTTTTTGGTGGCTTCAACCTAGTTTTCTTTGTCTGTGCGATTATCTTCTCCAGCATGGCTATCACACTGGTCCAGCTGCAGACAAGAAATCCATTTATTGGGGGCTTGTGGCCTTAAGCCACGATGTTTACATAATCTTTCACATCATCCGGGGCCCAAAGGGAAGACCTCCAGATTTACAGTGCCGATGCAACCTCTCTTACAAATAGCCTGTATGTATGAGATGCAGGAATAAACACATTCAGTGATCATGTGGTTGGATAAGTTCAAAATTTATTATACACATATGCATGCCTTCGATTAAGAGGATGAGGAAAGACATGCATGCACAAACATCCCTCATGATCAAGTCATGCCTCCAAGCCGACTCTGCAGAGATACGGGCGTTCACTTGCCTCTTAGTTCTCCATTATGAATACTGAAAATAAAGGATTGAGACTAGTCCTAACCTCTGGAGCTCACGAAGCGAGCACTCTAGTGTTAGATAGATGTCAGAGACCAGATCGAGACGAAGGAATGTCTCTGTGGTGGAGGGCTTCGGCCTCAGCAACTTATGCCAGGAGTGCTGTGCCAAGTAACATGTCCATGCCCTAACTTACTAACTGGCAACCAGAACTAAAAGGGGGTAAACTCTAGTCGATTTTATTACTGAGGTGTAACCTATGTACAAGTTGAGTATATATATAGTTACAACGAGGGCCGGCCCGTAAATGGCGGGGCCAAGTGGAGTGGAGCTAATGGAGTTAAACATTAGCCGATTGAATATTACCGACGAGTCGGGTTACGGGGTTAGCGGAAATGGCAGGCGATAACCCAGAAACAGAAAGGAGGGATAGGCCCGAAGGAGGGCTTGCAGGGCAAGCAAGTGAATTGCTCAGCGGAGGTGGGAGTGCGCTAGTGGACGTCAGAGCTGTCTGGAAACCTTCGGGGCTCCGTACTTAGGGAGGCATAGGTAATATATTGAAAAGAGGGGGTGGTGATCATCGAAGAGAAGTGGAGGTGGTTGCAGAATACGGGAGCTCCGAGGTTAGTGAGGAAGGAGCAGAGGTAGTCCGGAGAGTTCGGAGGTAGTAGAAGTCAATGGCTGAGTATGGATATGACAATAGACGTGGGTCTAATTGCGCCAACAAGAATGAGTAATATCCAGACACATCCAAATTTTTTCTTATGGTGTGACAGGGCCTGTCATATCCATACATACCCGATCCTGATTCGACTCCTGGACTCCCATCTTCACCACCTCCGGAGTCCTACCCTACCGCCATCCGTTCCGATACTCACCTTCGGACCTGACACCACTCCTCCTCTCACCCCTCATGCCACTTCCACCCTTCCACCCTTCTCCTACCTTGTCTCCATCCACTCCGATACTCACCTCAGACCAAACACCATTCCTCTCACCACCCTCCTCCTCTCACTTCTCCTCTTACTCCTCACGACACCTCCACCCTTCTGTCACTTTCCTACCCTTCTCCCGTCCGCTCCGATACTCGCCTTCAGACCTGACACCTTTCCTCTCCTCCACTCCTCACCCCGCTCCTTTCTTCTCTCTCCTCCCTCTGACCCTCTTCCACCAAACCTCCGGCAAGTTACGACCTTCCGCCGCTGTCCTGCACCCCATACTCGGACACTGCTCGTACCTTCGCTCCGAGATTCCGTCATAGTTCTGACCTCGGACTTTGACTCCACCTTGGCTTAAGTCCATTGCATTGGTGACCTCATACTACATAAACACCATTGCCAATATTCCCCGGACTTTCAACCCTGCCTCCATAACCTCCGTAAGCTCCGCAACCTCTGAGCTCCACGGACCATACTTGGCACTTTCACCGCTTGTAATGTGTCTTTCGCGCTTTCCCCTCATCCTTATTTGGACTGCTGCTTCTTCCCATTCTAGCCAGTTAGTCATCATCCCCACTTCACCTCATCCTCCTGCCCCTCTGGGCTTCGCCCTCCCTATCTCCTTTCGGATGTACCACAGGTTCTGACCTATGACCTTCAGTACCGCTCCGCTTCTATCATCCCTTTGTTCCCGTTCGGATGCCTTCATTCCGATTCAGACCCCCTTTGTTTCCCTTGTGCTCTTGTCTCCCTATTATATGTATACAGGTGCTTGTACATACTCGTTTTAGACCTTCAGTCTAAAATCGACCTGAAATGCCCCCTAGAGACTTCCTGCTCAACGCCTATGAAATTAAGGACCAAATGGACAAACAGCAATGGCACAGTGCTCCACATGAGTCGCTGAGGCCAAGGTCCCTCCTTGCTAAGTCTCCGGTTCCCCTCTGGAATTGTCTGCCCTCGCCCAGTTCTAACAGGGCCGCTGTACTTGCAACGGATTTGCCTAGTATCTCTGGTGTAAGCATGAGAATTCAAGGTATAAGAAGAGGGGCACTTCTTCCACACCTTCCCCCAGAGTCCTCTTTAAATTCAACCTCTTCACATGTCTAGCAACAAGAAGATTATTGATGTTGTCAGAAGCACTGGATTGCAAGGAGGAAGTGTGGTTTGTTCTCTCCTCGTGGACGGGACCTTTGCTGTTCAAGCCCTTACCCACAACATAAACGGGGATGCAGCCACGAAGCTCAAAGCTGCTGGAGCCAAGGTCATCTTTGCCGACCTTGAGGATGTTGAGTTGCTCAAAAAGGCTTTCAGGGGCGCATATGGCGTTTTTGGCATCACTGGTGAGGGACATCATTGTAGTCATGATCAATAGTATCCAACTGACCGATCCATTGCATGTCAGATTGTAAGCAACTGAATGAGATATCTGAAGCATTGCTGATTGTCTGTGGCTGCCAGTCCTCACTCTGTATCTTGGTGTCGAGAAGCTTGACCAGGCCAAATCCCGCAATCATGAGACCCAACTTGGGAAGAATATTGTTGATGCAGCCAAAGTGGAAGGAACCAAGCATCTTGTTTGGAGGTATGAACGTACCAATCCATGTGTGCATCTCATCCATCTAATTGGGTGGTGCTCAGCACACTGGACGACACTTTGAGCATCGGCATACATGTGCATCACTTTGTCATACGTAAACAAAGCATCCACTCTGACTATTTTCTTATGTTGTTTTATTAACAGAGCAAAGCCAATGGTACTGTTGCTAACCCAGAAGTGGGACACATAAGCAAATTTTTATTATATTTCCGGCTACAGACCTCAGAATCGAGTCGTTATTTTTTTGAGCGAGAGCTCTGTATCACCTGTATCTACTGGAAAAATACTGGAGATATTCTTTGAGTTGTGGTGGCTGAAGAAAAGTCTTGTGTTGTGAGCTCAAAAACGTGCCGGGAATTTCCGTCACCACATCATTGGACAGTGCTATCAGAAGCCCCGCACCAGCACCTCTGCTGCCTCTAGCTCCTCATTTGATATCTGGCTGTTGCCTTTCCAATGCACAACTGGTGGAGGAGGTCCCGGGAAATTGCAGGTGTATTTCCATACATATACTCGACTCCCTCTTCATCCGTGACAGGGTTCGGATTTCCATAGACTCTGAATCTTCTTACTCTGCAAATCAGCTAGGGCACATGATATTCGCTCTTCAATGTCAGAGGAAGGTCCCTGTCAGGGCAATAGCCCCGAACCCCAAGCCACATGTAATTAGATACATATAGTCACGTGGGTAAGCGGGAACCTCTGGGTAACTGCTTACACACTACCGTAAATCACACACTCTTGTATCACTTGCAGCTCTGTGTGCTGAGCTACCCTGAGACCTCACAGTCCCATAGTGTCAGAGAAAGAAATGGACGGAAATTTTGGGGGTATCTGGCAAGGTTTATAACATCGCATTTTCAGGGTCACTCACTGTTGGTAATTCTGGTCCTGACAGCGCTGACAAGCAATAGAACTTTCCAAAAATGCGAAGAAGATTTCTTGAGAGTTTTTAGAATCGACTCCAATCATTTTATGGAAGGGTGTAAGGTAGACTCGTGAGCTCCAGGGGCAGGAGCATAGCAGAATGACGGTTTCGGAGACAATGGCCCGATAGTTATATGTCAAACACCACAACACTCATATAAAACTCCGGGATTTTTTTGGACAGTTACATACATGTGATTCTTCTGCACATAATGGCAAAGAATGGTTGGTGAAGGAGGAGATATGAGGCAGTTATGGGCATTTGTCCCATTTCTAGGTGTGTCCAATCCTGTGATATATTATAGTACAGTGCATATATTATCTTCATTACTCTAACCTTGTCTATGGACACCATCCAATATGTGGTGGACAAATACATCCAGGTGAAGAAGGTTCCCACCACACTCTTATTTACATCTGGCTACTTGTCAGGGTTCAGCACCCTGCCTTAGGGTGCCCCGGACTCCCCACCTACTTTACCCCCTTTATTCTTTGATTGTTGCCTCGTTGTTGCCTTTGTGTGTTGTGTACACGTGTGCATGGGATAGCGTTGTAGGAGAAATAATGGTCACACTATGGAAACCCATTATGGAAATATGCCAGATAAATCACAAAACCCCATACAACAAGTAGATATGAGGTAATAGAAGAACCTGAATTTTTACGAAATTTTACGAATTATTACAACTACATACAATAAAATGGAAGAAAGAAAATTAGCGAAAATACTTCAAGCTTAGCATCAATAAGACGGAATTCTCGGGGGAATTTATAGCAAATATTAAACCTAGAATTAGGACAATCGACCAAGATTTGACTATAAAAACAGCCAGAGAACCTCCACAGAAACTACTTTCCCACGTCCGCACACATAGCCAAGGATGGAAGTACCACAGAACAAGGATTCCTCAGGAACTAATGCAAAATTCAAAGTTGTGTTTATAATAGGAAATGTAGATGTCCCCCAAACGGACCCAATGAAAGTAATTACAGGGAAAACTACCGATAAACGACGGAGATATGACTGAAACCCCCGGAAAATGAGGACAACGTTTAAAAAGCAAGCACGAAGAACAACCAGTAACGACCGAGACAAACTTGATGGCCCATTGAAAAGGAAGGGATCTAATCATAATCCACCCAAATTTTCATAATAAAAGGATCACGCATTAATGAGATATCCAATAATGGGAATAGCGACATCAAAAGTCCGGGCTCAGGGAAAAGACGATGTTTATGTAGGATCCATAATTAAAACATACAACAAAATTTACACGGAAATTATGAAAAATAGGGAACTATAGTTATGCAAATTTTCAGCCCAAACGGTCTAGCCGTTGTGAAGTTATACCAACGACGGGAAAATAGAAATCTGCATCATGTTTAATGACACGTGAGGGTGGCAATGTGAAGGGAACCGGCCATCAGAACCAAGATCCGCACTTCAGCAGATCGCAAAGACCAATTTCTGTCCAAATAAGGAAGAGCCCAGTCAAAACAAAGCACGGAAAGTGCAAAACAACCTTAGATCATGAGGGAAAAATCTGAAATAAATCACGGAAGCCCATATGAAGGATACAAACACCTGTGCATACCATAAATCCCAAACAATTAAACAGAAATGGCGCCTGCATACGAATGACTATGGGAACAATGCATGTGATTACCGAATGTGTGCGCAAACTTTTGCTAACTCGACGAATACCAGGAAATAGAACACAACTTTAGTACCATTGGAAAGGTGGGAATAAATAAAAATTTATGATAACAAGAACGTGAAAAACCATTCAGAAATGAATGAGATACAAGGACATGAAGTTAGAAACCTGAAAATGCGCGGGAAGACAGCTTCAAGAGGTCCAGAGCCCTAAATAAAATAAAAAATATGATATCTTCGAGGACAACCTACGATAACAACGAATAATACATTTGGAGGATTAGGATGTGATAATACAAAGGGGAATCAGGGGAGATGAACAAAATCCATGAAAACCACTAAACTACGACAGACCATGGTGGGAATTTTAGGGGACGATATTCTAATGAAGTGGAGAGCTATAATACATTCGCTTGAGTAATTCTTGACTACTAGCAACCTTTTCTTTCGGTTCTAAACCTGAATAATTCACTCATTTACCATTTCAAGTCTCATTTTAACTAAATGTTGCCGGATAAAAATGGAATAAATCAGCTGAAGGTCTCAGCGCAGCCATACGCATAGTAATGCGAAGTTTGAATTCAGAATCACCGAGTCATAGCGATTTTAATGGTAAATATGAGGAATTTGAAATAGGAAACTGCGACAAATGCAGTGCAGTCAAGTTCTAATTAACCATTAAAATAGTTTAGGCAAGGAAGGACGATAAGGATTCTAGGCGCAGTCTGACTGCATGTCACAGCCCCGCAAAGTCCCTGCCCTTCTACCACTTTCTGCACCCTCATTTTTGCGCCCGTTACTCGTGCCCGTTAATCGCGCCATTGCCCATCACTTAGCGGCGCCGATAGTGGTTCCCGTTCTACGGCCCCGTAGCAGCGCCTCCTTCATTCTCCTGCCACCACTTAGGGTTCCTCAGTCATTCGGCCAATACCGTTTTATTCTTATTCATTCGCTTAACTAACTAGCGGTTGTTATGGTCGCCGCTGATCCGCTCCTTATTGACATTTGGTTTATTCCTTTACTGACAATTGGTTATTCCTTTATTGACATTTGATGTATTTGTATATTGACATTCTGATCCACCACCATATTGGCGCCTAGATTGTCAGCCTATTCATTCTGCCTCCCAACTTCGCCGTCCTCTGTTCCATTTCCCTGGTCCTCATCGCTCTTTTAGTTCTGTCGTACTTACCATCCCGCTCCCGTCCCGCGCCGGACCGACCGGCCCCTTCTCTGTTCTCCTTTCGTATTTATACTTTGTAGTCTACTGTCGATGTACCTCAGTTCGAATATCGACTAGAATTCCCCCCCAAGTACTCTCATCTTAAGTTCGCCTCTCAACTTCATCCCCGCTTAAGTCAACGTCACCACAAGGTCTTTCCCGCTAACGTGAAATACGGGACAGCCTAGAACGCGTGGCGCAACGCTCTGGCCAAGTCGTTGAAGCCGAAGTCCCAACCCCCACGACGCCTTGCAACGGAGTAGCTCATTAGCTAAGTGACCACTTATGCCACCTTACTCCGCTCCGCTTCCCACGATCACCACGAATACAGTTTCTGACACTGCAGTAGAGCCACAGTTCAGTGCAGCAGAGCACAGTAGAACTATAGCGTGAAAATTTCATTGTTTATTCAGTTTGAGAAAAATACACTGTAAATAAATCCTGTAAATACGAGGTAGAGCATGAAAAAGGAAGGCAACCCAAGGAGTATCAAAGGGAGACCCTTTCTGCAACTTTTTGCCCCCCTCAGAGAAGTAAGAAAATAGAGTATTATTTTTCTCAAGCATTTCTGGTTGTCACTCCAGCGCGAAAAAGTGATATACAGTTAAGATTGCCACTGTAGAAAAAGGCAGCAATTAAGGAGAGAAATATTAAGTAGATATTTCAACAGGAGAGCTGGTTAACACTCCAGATTTCAAAGTGTAAACACAAAACAGTTATTTTGCTACTGTTAAAACAAGCAATAAAATAAGACAAAAATAAAAACAAACTCAAGGGACACTCCAGACACAATCTAAATCATTAACTGAGTAGAATCTTTGAAACTTCACCAAGTAGAAGATTTAATTCAAGTTAAAAATCCAAATTAAACGATCCTACACAGAATTACACCCAGACAAATTGAGAAATTACAATAAAGGAACAGCTCCGCAGGGCTTTGTTTATCTGTCAGTCAATTCCCAGAAACTTTTAGACTAACCCATAAAAATAGAATTAGCCAAAACACTCGGATTGGTACTATAATTACAACAATTATTACTAGTACACTTCCCCATCCTAACTAAAGAACCAGGGAACGGCTTGGTGGTGGTCTCGTTTGAACCTCCCAACTGACCTTCCTTTGTTCTCTCCTTCAGCATGGGAACTTTGAGCAGCTCGCCCAGAGTGTTCCCACGGGTCACAGCCACAATTCTGGGTGAGCAACTCGCCCAGAACGTTCCCATGCTTACTGGGCACTGCCACCTGGGTGTTCCCTCCAGGTCACACTACACAACTCTAGGAGCTGTATAGTTGTGGGCATGTGACCCATTCCTTTATATAGCAACCATGTGGGGAGATGAGACCTTTACCCTTCTTCTCATCTCATGCCCCGCATAGGCAAGTGCATATATTCCCTTTCTTTTACTATACATCTCATGCCCCACATAGTGTGAGGACAGGTCAGATGGAGGTTGAGGTCAGGGAGCCTCCGAGTCCAAGGCCGGGCCCTGACACTACTTCAACAACTTAACGAAGTCTGGGGTATGTGTTTACACATTTGCATCAACTTCACTGATGTTTGACCATACTTTATGGTCCCAGTGGCTGAAGAAGGAAGGAGACACCATCAATCTTAATATCCCATTTCCTTACGATGTCCATCTAATGATGGCCTATAGAGGGGGCTGTTTGGCCTTCAAATGGGCCTAATAGGGGGTATTTACTAGTGGATGTCCTGGACATCCTGGTGGAGAAAGAAAAGGCCTGATCCATTCACCAGGACATCCCCAGGACATCCTAGGACATCCTGGGATGTCCTGGGATGGTTCTATAATTCAATCAAATTTAATCAAATGCTTCTGTAATTCAATCAAATTTGTATTATTCAGGGTAGACATTCAAAACATAATGCCGCAATTGAATCTGATTTGCTGTGACAATCCTCGGGCTGCTCAACTGTCTGTGCACAATGCTGGCCACTGTCTGAAGGGGTGTCAACACTGTTTCCCATGGTCTCAATGCACTTTATGCAGATGGATAGCCCCTTCAAATAGCTTCCAGAATATATAATTTGAGACTAAATTGACAAGCGAGTTATTGAGAAAAATGCAAAATACTTTTTTGGACACAAGTCTTTGGGTTAGTGTGGCTGTCCACCTCATGTCTGTGCACAGTGCTGGCCACTGTCCGGAGGGGTGTCCAGACTGTTTCCCACGGTGTCAACACACTTTGCGTAGTTGGATAGCCCCTTCAAATAGCATCCAGAATATATAATTTGAGACTAAATTGACAAGCAAGTTATTGAGAAAAATGCAAAATACTTTCTTGGATGCGAGTCTTTGGGATCCACTAAATTTCGGTGACAGTCATCGAAATTTCCGGGTCATCCCAAAAACTCGTGTCCAAAAAAGTATTTTGCATTTTTCTCAATAACTCGCTTGTCAATTTAGTCTCAAATTATATATTCTGGAAGCTATTTGAAGGGGCTATCCAACTACGCAAGGTGTGTTGACACCATGGGAAACAGTCTGGACACCCCTCCGGACAGTAGCCAGCACTGTGCACAGACATGAGGTGGACAGCCACTGTCAGACACCAGATCGAGACGAAGGAATGTCTCTGTGGCAGAGGGCTTCGGCCTCAGCGACTTATGCCAGGAGCGCTGTGCCAAGTTACATGTCCGTTCCCTAACTTACTGACTGGCAACGAGAACTAAAGGGGGTCAACTCTAGTCGATTTTATTACTGAGGTGTAACCTATGTACAAGTTGAGTATATATAGTTACAATGAGGGCGGGCCCGTAAATGGCAGGGCTGAGCGGAGCGGAGCTAACAGAGTTGATCATTAGCCGATTGAATATTACCGACAAGTCGGGTTACAGGGTTAGTGGAATGGTAGGCAATAACCCAGAAACGGAAAGGAGGGATAGACCTGAAGGTGGGCTTGCAGGGCAAGCGAGTGAATTGCCCAGTGGAGGCGGGAGTGTGCTAGCGGACGTCAGAGCTGTCTGGAAACCTTCGGGGCTCTGTACTTAGGGAGGCGTAGGTAATATATTGAAAAGAGGGGGTGGTGACCATCGAGGGAAGCGGAGGTGATTGCGGAATACAGGAACTCCGAGGTTAGTGAAGAAGGAATGGAGGTAGTCCAGAGAGTTCGGAGGTAGTGGAAGTCAATGGCCGTGGATGGATATGACAGCCACACTAGCCCAAAGACTCGCGTCCAAAAAAGTATTTTGTGTTTTTCTCGATGATTTATTGGTCAATTCAGTCTCAAAATATATATTCTGGAAGCTATTCAAAGGGGCTATTCAACTATGTAAAGTGTGTTCAGGCCGTGGGAAACAGTCTTGACATCCCTCTAGACAGTGGTCAGCATGTGCACAGACCATGGGATGGACGAGTATGGCATTCCGGGACAATTTGCAATCATTGAATCAAACTGAATTACATTTGCAACAAATGAATGAAACTGGATGTCCTAGGACGTTTATAGTGAAAAAGGCCTTTTAGGCCCCATGCAAACGTCCTGAGGTCCCCCCTATAAAGGCCCACATAGTGGTTGTCCAAGGTGACGACGTACCATATCCTTTTTATGAAGCGACCGCGACTGGAGAATGGGTATTCACATCATTACTATTATGGCACATTGCTTCATACAAATAATTATTCCACAGGTCAAGAATATCCTTAAAAACCCAGATGAATGGATCGGTAGGTGATTCGGAATGCACCAATCGCAGATGATTCTGACCTTTCGGCGGTTACAGGCAAGCGGGCTGACGCTTACGGGGGTTCGTACATAGCAGTGGAAATTGCAGAGGCTCTAAAGAGGAAGACGGCGAAAAATGTTGTTCTGAACGAAGTCACGCACGAGCAGTTCAACAGTAAAGAGTTTCACGATGCACTGGGCGATCTGTTCTGGTTGACGTAAGTGAAGACCTTTATGATTTGCAAGTTGCAAATTTACTTAATGCCAACTGCAGCAACCAATACATTGTCGATGGAGGGTAAGGGTCCAAGGACGCATGCCTTCTCTGAAACCAGCTCTGCACTCTAGAATGGTCCAAGATGCGGAACTGTCGAAGCGAGCCAACCCAAATGGTTCCAACCTTGAGCAATTTCTCGAGAGGGATGAGGCCATCAAAGCTTTTCTTTCCTCATGAGCTTACATATGACGACAGTATCGGAATGGGTTATCTGTTAGCTTTCCGGAAATCTAGTTCAAACGCCTTGGAATGACTGAATTGTAATCACAAACGTTGGACCAATAAATTAGGCTACTGCATGCAGGGTAACAACCTGACTCAGCCATCGCCGCTCTGAGAACGGGAATCCGAGGTAGCAAACTGTAGCACGGAAATGTTTGTCGAAACCAACTATGGAGCGTGTCCTGTAGTTCCCAATCCCGGACGCATGCCCTTGCTGGATCACAGACCAAGTCTAAAGAATGGAAAGGGCGAGCCTTCTAATATCGTTACTCAAGAAGAGGGACCATCAAGCAGGCTCGCGCGCCAAGCTGGTCAAGGGGGACCTAAACCATGTAACAGCGTGAAGAACAATATCAAGTTTCCGTAGGCAGGACGAAGTTAAGTATAAGACGAAATAATGGACTAGCGATGTTGTCGCTCAGTCCGCTATGCGTGAACTGAGGAGAAGTCGTAAGGTCCAAAAATTGGTGTTTTATAGTCAGGCGCTATCAATGCGCACTGACTTTAGTAACAACTGATCCAAAAAAGGGAAACAAAGTAAATCTTAGCCCCGCAAGACTCAACATCAACAACGTGAGTTGGCCTCAGCGTACGCTTGTTCCCAAGAAATCTAACATTAAGCACCTCCAGCATGAGTTGACTGGGAAGGCGGCTTTATGGTTCGTATCGACAATTGCAATAAGACCGCGAGGTTGGAAGCCATTATCACGATAATTGCATAAGAGGATTCTGGAATCTGCCGCGAGACTTTCCAATGACATTCCATAATGGGGTGAATTGCGCCATCACGGCGATCTCATGGCTGTGAACTGCGCAGCATCTACTTGAGTGTCACCACCCGCTGCGCATCCGGCCTTTTCTCCTCATCCTTCCATCCACCCATTATTGACCATGTCGCTGAGGCAGAGGGTCAATGATCTCCTTGCAGTGGGAGGCGATGTTACAATTCCAGTTCTCACCGCTGTCAATTCTGCGTCGGTCGTGTTCCCTCCCCTACATGCTGCCACCAATGCCACGCTCCTCATCCTCACTGAAATCAAAGTTAGTAATAATTTATACCGATCCTGGAACGGAAGTTGACAATCTGCATTGTATAGAAGTTCAGGGGAAATAAGGAAGAATGGGGGCGTTTCGGAAAATATATCGGGGACGCCATGGTCGACGTGGTTACAGCCATCGATTCGTATGATGGATCTAACGAAGAGCCTAAGCCGTGGATGGAAAGCGTCAAGAAGCTGAGCGAGTAAGTAATATCTGCACTCTGCAAGCCATTACCGTTGTAAAATGTAGGTATTTTGTAGGGCGCTGCAGCGCATTCAAATCGAAATCGGTCGATTGCGTAGAAAGATGGAAAAGCAGTCTGGTATCCGCAACTTCTTGTCTCATATGAAGAACCCCGGCGGTAGGATCGACGATTTAAAGAAAGATTTTAGCGAAGCCTTGGCAACGTTCCAGGTAATCCCATTTGATCCCCGGTTACAGTTCTGTTCTGATTTCATTATCGAAACAACGTAGCTGCAGACAAACTTGACGGTTGGTGCAATAGCGAACAATCAACATCGATTAATTCGTGGAGTAGAAGACTCCTCAGTTCTGAATGAACTCAAATATCCCATTGTTGCCCATCACGATTCAACTCAGCCGTGTCTGAAAGATACTAGGGTTGATCTGATTGAGCGTATTATGGCGTGGTGTCGTACCACGGAGGATAGCAAGAATCGTGTATTACTGCTAACGGCCGTGGCCGGTGCCGGCAAGACATCTGTTGCGCTCTCAATCGCAGAGGAGTGTAAAAAAGAGAAGATATCATCGTCAAGCTTCTTTTTCAAAGCAGGCGAGCAGTCGCGGCCGGACCATCTCTTCAGCGGCATGGCTCGAACTATGGCAACCCACGACCCTGCATACCGTGCCTCCCTCATATCGACTCTTCAGGAGGACCCAGCCCTCTCGACTGCCCCATTCGCGATGCAATTTGAGACACTTGTGGCTGAACCTCTCCGTCTCAGGACATCCTCGTCTGACCGTCCTATGGTAATTATCATTGATGCGCTAGATGAGTGTGACACAAAGTCATTCCCACGTCTTGCCGACATACTTCGGAAAGCGGTCCCAAAACTACCACCTAACATCAAATTCTTTCTCACTTCGAGACAGTTTGACCTCGTTGATCGTTACCTATCACCGAATTACCCTATCGATCGCCTCACCATCGATCTTTCGGACGATGCTAACATGCATGACTGTGCTATCTACATCCGATCACAACTATACGAACTGAAAGATGTGCATCCTGGTTTGGAAGATGGGATCGGGGAAGAAGATACATTAGTCCAAAACATACGGGAGCGAGCGGGCGGCTTGTTCATTTGGATCAGTACTGTCTTTGATTACATGAAGGTCAGCGGTAGTGATGCTGCGAAGATGCTGAAGAAACTGCTGGATGAAGATCTCAACCGATCAAAGGCTTCCGCTGAGGAAATGATGGATAGGCTGTATGCGAGTATTTTAGAGAAGTGTAACTGGAAGGACGATGATTTCGTGCATGACTACCCGATCGTGATGGGAGCAATTCTAATCGCCCAGAAGCCACTGTCTGTTGCGGCCTGGGATGCCATTCTCTCACCATTGCTGGACTCGGATGTCCCACGTACATTAGCTCAGCTCGCACCCCTCGTCTCAGGAGTTAGGAATCCTGACAAGCCAATTCGTATTCTCCACCAATCTTTTCGTGACTTTCTCACGGACCGAGTCAATCCACAATCGCCCATACTTGGTCAGTTTGGAGTGGATGCGGGGAGGGAGAACGACAGAGTGGCCCTGCGCTGCATCGAAATATTGAATAAAGATCTTTCCACTGTGAAGGATTTAGGGCTGATCGAGGACTTATCCCAACAAGCTAGGCTGCCACCCATTCCTCAAGAGGTGCTGTCCGAACACGTCCATTACGCATGTCGGCATTTCGTGCATCACCTCAGCCAATTTCGGGGGCCGCTGGGGGCGCTCAATGTGCCTATTCACGCATTTCTCAACAAGCAGATATTGCGCTGGGTGGAAGTCTGTGTGAGGACGGGAGGGTACATCAGTATATCATCGTTCCCTGAATGGGCCAAGGTACGAATCATCAGTAGCAAACATTTGAGGCTCTTGTTCAGTCTCATGTTCTATTCAGTTGAACGTTGATCAGGCCTCCAAAGAGGTCGTTCACAAGTTGGTCAGAGTGTTTCGCAATGTGAGGAGAAATCTTGCATTCTTTTTAAGATTCCAGGAGGCATATGAGTTGGCAAGTGATTCAGTTGCACTGTGCCGTTGCCTTGTGTCTACGGACTCAGAGTCCTACACCCCAGATCTGGCTCGAGCACTCGGGAATCTAGATGCATCACTCACCAACCTTGGACAACATTCTGAGGCACTCCTTGTGAATGAAGAAAGCATTGAACTCTGGCGCAAGCTGGTTGCCACCCATTCAACATTGTACCACCCAGATTTGGCTCGAGCACTCCAGGGTTCTTTTGTATCACTTGACAAGGTTGGACACCATGATGAGGCACTCACGGTGATTGAAGAAAGTGTGCAACTCTGGCGCGGGCTGGTTGCCACCCATCCAACATCATACACCCCGGATTTGGCTTGTGCACTCCGGAATCTTGAAGTATCACTCAGCAGAGTTGGACACCATTCCGAGGCACTCACAGTGATTGAAGAAAGTGTGCAACTCTGGCGCAAGCTAGTTGTCACCCATCCAACATCATACACCCCAGATTTGGCCCGAGCGCTCCGGAATCTTTCTGCATCACTTGACAAAGTTGGACACCATTCCGAGGCACTCACTGTGATCAGAGAGGGTGTGAAGCTCTGGCGTGAGCTAGTTGCCACCCATCCAACATCATACACCCCAGATTTGGCTGGAGCACTCCAGAATCTTTTTGGATCACTCAACAAAGTTGGACACCATTCCGAGGCACTCACAGTGATTGAAGAAAGTGTGCAACTCTGGCGCAAGCTAGTTGACACCCATCCAACATCATACACCCCAAATTTGGCTGGGGCACTCCAAAATCTTAAAGTATCACTCAACAAAGTTGGACACCTTTCTGAGGCACTCACAGTGATTGAAGAAAGTGTGAAACTCTGGCGCAAGCTAGTTGTCACCCATCCAACATCATACACCCCAGACTTGGCTGGAGTGCTCCTAAATTTTTCTGTATCACTCAACAAAGTTGGACGCCTTTCTGAGGCACTCACAGTCATTGAAGAAAGTGTGAAACTCTGGCGTGAGCTAGTTGCTACCCATCCTACATCATACACCCCAGATTTGGCTGGAGCACTCCTGAATCTTAAAGTATCACTTGACAAAGTTGGACACCATTCTGAGGCACTCAAGGTGATTGAAGAAAGTGTGCAACTCTGGCGTGAGCTAGTTGCCATCCATCCAACATCATACACTGCAGAGTTGGCTCAAGCACTCCAGAATCTTGAAGTATCACTTGTCAAAGTTGGATGCCATTCCAAGGCACTCATGGTGATCAAAGAAAGTGTGCAACTCTGGCGTGAGCTAGTTGCCACCCATCCAACATCATACACTCCAGATTTAGCTCAAGCACTCCAGAGTCTTTGTGTATTACTTGACAAAGTTGGATGCCATTCTGAGGCACTCATGGTGATCAGAGAAAGTGTGCAACTCTGGCATGAGCTAGTTGTCACCCATCCAACATCATACACCCCAGATTTAGCTGGAGCACTCCGGAATCTTTTTGTATCACTTGACAAAGTTGGATGCCATTCTGAGGCACTCACTGTGATTGAAGAAAGTGTGCAGCTCTGGCGTGAGCTAGTTGCCACCCATCCAACATCATACACCCCAGATTTAGCTGGAGCACTCCGGAATCTTTTTGTATCACTTGACAAAGTTGGATGCCATTCCAAGGCACTCATAGTGATTGAAGAAAGTGTGAAACTCTGGCGTGAGCTAGTTACCACCCATCCAACATCATACACCCCAGGTTTGGCTGGAGCACTCCTGAATCTTTTTGTATCACTTGACAAAGTTGGATGCCATTCTGAGGCACTCAAGGTAATTGAAGAAAGTGTGAAACTCTGGCGTGAGCTAGTTGCTACCCATCCAACACCATACACCCCAGATTTGGCTCAAGCACTCCAGAATCTTTTTGTATCACTTGAGAAAGTTGGACACCATTCCAAGGCACTCATGGTGATTGAAGAAAGTGTGCAACTCTGGCGCAAGCTAGTTGCCACCCATCCAACATCATACACCCCAGATTTGGCTCGAGCACTCCAGCATCTTTTTGTATCACTTGACAAAGTTGGACGCCATTCTGAGGCGCTCACTGTGATTGAAGAAAGTATGCAGCTCTGGCGCAAGCTGGTTGCCACCCATCCAACATCATACACCCCAGATTTGGCTGATGCACTTGGGAGTCTAGATACATCACTCACCAACCTTGGACAACATTCTGAGGCACTCCTTGTGAGTGAAGAAAGTGTGAAGCTCTGGCGTGAGCTAGTTGCCATCCATCCATCATACACCCCAGATTTGGCTGGAGCACTCCGGAATCTTAAAGTATCACTCGACAAAGTTGGACGCCATTCTGAGGCACTCACAGTGATTGAAGAAAGTGTACAACTTTGGCGTGGGCTAGTTGTCACCCATCCAACATCATACACCCCAGATTTAGCTGGAGCACTCCGGAATCTTTTTGTATCACTTGACAAAGTTGGACGCCATTCCGAGGCACTCACTGTGATTGAAGAAAGTGTGCAGCTCTGGCGTGGGCTAGTTGCCTTGCAACCGATGTCATACACCCCAAGTTTGGCTCAGGCTCTCAGGAATCTTGCAATATCACTTAACAATCTTGGACACTATCCTGAGGCACTCCTCATATATGAAGAAAGGCTCAAACTCCTGCCCCAGTAGTTGTCATTTATCTGATTCACTCCACATTTGGCATGATCATTCTGCAGCCTCACCAGCTCATCATCATGTCAAGACCCTAACTTTCATTGAAGATTCTGTTGCTAACTGCCATTCACTTTGTGTTACTTACCATTGTGTGTGTGTTTGATATGGCCTTGGTGCTGCTGTTTTCATGCATTAGGTGCTGTGGATGCACTTGTGTGACTAGCTTCATCCCCAATACTCTGCTGCTTATGTGCACAAGTCTTAACTATCATATTCCTGCATTGCCCATGCACCAGATATAATATATATATAATGAGGCATGTTTGGGACAATCATGAAAACTCAAATACAGGCCCACAAGGCTGGACTCTGCTTCACCATCATCATATCCCCATCACTCCTCCTTGAGACATACTTGATCAGATCAGCCAGAAACTGACAATCATTCACTGCTGTCAGAAATGGTGATCAAGGGTATTTGCGGGAAGTGGAGTGGAGTACAGTGGCATGAGTGATCACTTAGCTGATAGTTTACTCCATTTCAAGGCATCAGGGGGTTGAGATGTTGGCTTCAACTGTCAGGGTTCAGCACCCTGCCCTAGGGTGCCCCAGACTCCCCAACCAATCCCTTCCTTCCATTCCTTCATTGTTGCCTTGTTGTTGCCTTTCTGTGTTGTGTATCCGCACACATGGGATAGCGTGGGAACTTTCTGAGCGAGCAGCTCACCCAGAATGTTCCCACAGGTCACAGCCACAGTTCTGGGTGAGCAACTCGCCCAGAACGTTCCCACGCTTACTGGGCACTGCCACCTGGATGTTCCCTCCGGGTCACACTACACAACTCTAGGAGCTGTATAGTTGTGGGCATGTGACCCATTCCTTTATATAGCAACCATGCGGGGAGATGAGACCTTTACCCTTCTTCTCATCTCATACCCTGCATAGGCAAGTGTATATATTATCTTTCCTTTTACTATACATCTCATACCCTGCATAGTGTGAGGACAGGCCAGATGGGGGTTGAGGTCAGGGAGCCTCCGAGTCCGAGGCCAGGCCCTGACATCAACAACTCAGTGGGAGTGTTGCACCATGCACTCTAGGCTATCAGTGGAGGAGACCTTGCAGCAACATTGACTCAAGTGAAGATGAAGTCAGAGGTGAAATAAGGATAAGAGGACTTGGGGGGTATTCTAGTCAATTTTTGAACTGAGGTACATAGATAGTAATCTGCAAGTATAAATATGAAAAGGAGAACAGAAGAGGGGCCATGTCACGAACGTCTTTCCTTAGAGGATAGGTCGATCGCTATCCAGGTGATGCTGTCAGGTGGAGCTCGGTGTTCCGGGTCATCCGACAGTGGGTCGGAGACAGACCGGAGGTGGGGCGGAGCTCTGAGGGTGATGGGGTGTTGAAGGGACTCGGCTTCAGCAACTCGGAACGGAGTGCTGCACCTGGTACGTTCTCGTTGTCCCCATTTGTCAGGGGAGCTGGTGACAGAGGAACTGAGGCTGCCAGCAGAAGGGGGCCAGAGGCTCCCCCCTCACTACTTAACGGAGGAGGCGTTAGTGAGGGTCAATCGTTCATCACGCGATTTGTTGGGTGTTATACCAAGGCGTCTCTGGGGGCACCTGTTACTCAGTTCTTAGGAGCAGCAGACAAGTGGGATGCAATAGACGTCCTGGAAGAGGTTTTTGGAGGGCTGAAGACTGTTTATATTATAACTGGGGGAACTATTTACTAGAGGGGTACGTGCATACATATAGTGGATGTCAAACACCCGGATTGTAGGGGTAAATGCGTGAGTCCGAATGCAGGCGGGGCTCAACTAGAGGGGGAATCCAAGAGCTCCAGTGGTGGACCAAAGCTTCTCCAGGAAGCCTGGTTCTGCTGGATGGTACAAGAGGCTCTAAGAAGGATGCGGCCTCAGCGACTCGGAGGGAGCGTGGTGCCTCTGTTACGTCTCAGTTAGTCCTTGTATTTCTTATGTCTGAGGTATCTTGTAGAACGGGAACGGGATTCACTCAGAGGGACTTTGGGTAGCATTTTAGTCGAGATTAGAACTGAGGAACTACAGGTTCTAATCTACGGGTATTTTATAAAGGGGAGTGGAAAGGACTTAGTCAAAGTCCGAATAACAATGGGACGACACTGAAAGGTGCCGAATGATACCGAGAGGTACCGAAAGGTCCCGAACGATATCTTTAACAGGGAACCGAGGTGTCAGAACATAGAGGGCGGAGTAAGAGGCCGGAAAATGAATGGGAATGAGAAATGGGTAAGGGGGGGTTAGCTGACTGAATGGTAAGAAGAAGGTAGTCGTGCTAAGAATGGAGGGTGACTAATAAGTGATGACATGAGTGAGATCACCAAAGGATGCGGGTAACTCCGAAAGCGGAGTTGCATATCTGAAGGATGTTGGGTGACTCAAATAAATGAAATGGGTGGAGAAATGGTTTAAGGGTGTGTCACGGGATGTCGGAGGTCCGTCGGGGTATTGGAGCAAGTCCGGAGTCTCCGAATGTTCCGACTCAGGACCGAGCTTCCGGGATGGGAGTGACCAAGGTTCGGTGTGCTGCAACCAGACCGGAGCTGAGACAATCAGGAGGGAAGGTGACTTGAGGAGTGGGGAGGCATGGTGTAGGGGATGGTGAAGTTGTTAGGAAGGTGTGATGTGGTGGGAGTGCGTGGGGTCGGGATTCCAGGATATGACAGCGGAAACAATTGGATCCGAAGGTAAACAAAGGTTACCAAGGGTAAAGGGAAGTAAATAGAAAGAAGTCCACAAGACAAATAGGAATAGGCGAAAAGCCCGAATTACGTCTGAGGTTTTGTGGAGTGAGAGAAATAAAAGCCAACTGAATGGCAAGGTCTGAAAGTGTCTATGAACAAGCAGGGAACTACAGAGAAAGACGTCCGGAAAGGTCTGGAGCCCGGAAGTTGTAGTCCGGAAGATTGGGGTTGTAGAAAATATCAAATGATAAAACAATAAGGGTAAGATAGGAATGAGGAGGTACCGGAGGTGAGGAGGTACTGGAGGTGTGGAGACTGGAGGTAGGAAGGAGGGTAGGGATGACAAGTTGGGATTCATCAACAATGAGCAAGCCCATCTCCTTCGAACAAGGGGTCTGAGGAGGTGGAGGTATGGTGGTAGAGGTCTGGAGGTGCTGCAGATGTAGGTGGGTGGCAGAGCAGGAGAGAGTCGGAGGAGGAGGTAGTCCTAGGGTCGTTGGCATTGACTGGAGGCAGTGGAGAGAGATTGGGAGGGCTGGTGGAGGTCATAGGAGTCGTGTATGGATAGAGTGGAGGGAGGTGGAAGATCCGGGATATGACAGGCCACAGCAAACTAAATGAGGGATGAGAACCAGGGAGGCAGAGAGTGAGAGAATGAATGAGAGCGAAATAAACAATTAAAGAAGGCAAAATAGAGAGGCAACCTGAGAGAACCAACAACCTGGGTGCCAATATAGTGGGATCAATATTGACCACTAAGGTGAGTTAAGTGAGTGGACAGGAACAGGACATGTGGTGCTTGGCAATAAATGAATGGCATGTAGCTAAGTGATCAGGAGGGTGGGTTGGGGTGGTGGTAGGAAGGGAGAAGGTGCTGCTGTGGGACTGCAGACAGGGGTCAACTATTGGTGCTGCTGAGTGATGGATTGCAGGAAAAACTGATGGGGCAGAATAGGTGGTGAGGAAGTGGGAGAGTGATAGTGGATGGGCACCTTTTGTGAGGCCATGACAGCTGCATTGAGTGGAACTGGAGGAGCCAAGTTGGCAAGCACTTGTCCTACCATGAAAGTCAGGGCCACAAGTGCCAGTGTGTACAGAGAATTGCATTGCCAAGTCATGATGTGCATCAGCCCATCATTCTTGTCAAATCCATACTCCATATATATCTGTACTAATTATGTAGGACTTCCACATCTATTCTTGCAACTACCTTCCGCTGTGAAAACACTAGCCTGTCAGGGACAGCTCTGAAGGTGAGGAGGTCTCAGCATGATGCCTGGCGATTGGGGCTGGAGGGGGTGTGAGGCAGTGGTGCATAGCAGCAAACCCCAGTGCAGGCAGATGTCCCTGGCCACTCAGTCTGAAGTGGGAACTGTTGAGAAGAAGGCTACTTCTTTGGTTCCTGCTTTGGTGTTTATATACATGTGGCTGCGATCACGTGGGAGGTGTCACGACCATGCACTCTGACCCAGATGCCGGCCCCTTTTGTTTTGTTTGTCACCTGACCCATTCAGTTTCCTTACTATATATATACTTGTATATTACATCATCATAACTTTAGTCTGAATATCGACATGGTTTTGCCCCCCTAACAAGGCAGCCTCAAGCTGTCATATCCGTACAATCCCGACCTCCGCTCCGGGCTCCCGGAACTCCGAACCTGACTTCCAGAGTCCTACTTCCCTTCTGCCACCTCCTCCTTGCTGACTTCCAAGAGGTTATCCCACCTGTGGCTCCAACACCACCTTCGGTCCGACTCCGGAACATTCCGGGTCCGACCTCATCCTCGACACCTTCCAGACGAGCATGCAACACCTATGCTCCCGACTCCGGACCTCCACTCTGGAATCCCAGTTGCGTCTCTGTCTCCGGAACCTCCAGTCTTAGCTCCGACCTTGGACTTTGACCCCCACCTCCGCTTATACCCATTGTATTGGTTAGCTCATTCCATTTAATTATGTTTGCCAATATTCCGGAGTTTAACTTCCGAGTTCGGACTTTCCAGACTTACGTTGGACCTTGCAACTATTGCATTGCTCCATTCAATTCCGCTATTCTCCCTCATTCCTATTTGGGCTGCTGCTTCCTTTCTATTCAGTCAGCTGGCCATTCCCCACTCCCATCCTCCTTCCTTCCTCCTTGGGCCTTGGGCCTTCACTCCTCCTTTGGGAAACACCATTGAGTCAAACACTTGACCCTCGGTGTTGTTCCTCCTTCCAGCTCCCTTTGTCTGCTTTCGGAGTACCCTTGCTCCTTTTGATTCCGGACCCCTCCTTATATACAATGTACATAGTAACTTGTAACCTCAGTCCGAAATCGACTTGATTTCCCCCCAAGAGACTTTCCCTCTGCTAGATCCGAAATTAGGGACCCCTAGGACAACCAGCAATGGC